TACTATTATGCTTTCATGATATTGACTTTCTCTAAAAGCTCTATTGTCTTTGAAAATTGAACATTAACCTAAATCAATATTGAGACTACCCACATTATCATATATAGACCTACCTCCTTGATTGATAGCTTTGAGGGTCGTGTTGGTAATAGGGGATGATAAAAAAAATAGGGTTAGCCATATTTTTACTTAGCCTATGAGGCACCACGGGCCGGTCCAGGCTTTGGTGAACCTGGCCCACATTTTGGTGGGCCGTCATATGCTTTGCTCGGCTTGGCCCGGCCCGGCCCATGGTAAGCGCTGGATACAACCTTTCTTGAGACCCCCAAACACGGCCACTATAGTAGTAAGACAACATTTACTCAGCTCACCATCGTCTCCTACCGGAGGTGCATGCTGCTGATTCAGGGAGGCCGAATATAGGACACAAGGTTGACATGAGTATTCATTCAGGGGTCCCCCTTGTTATCACTTCTCTTTGTACTCCAGTAGCAGATCTGCATTTGGATATACTGCCACGGCCTTCTCTCATGTGCCCTGTCATTCTTAGAATGCTGTGATCTAGCCTGAGAGGGAGAACCTGCTCCGTCTCGTTTTCGTATTATGATAGTGGTAGTAAGATAGTGCCAAATAGCTGTGCCGAGACCTCCTTTCACACTAAATGCCAAAATAAACTATGAATATCCATGCAGGGCACACTCCGGCATTCTCGTTCCACCAATTCCTGCACAGAGGCGGGTCCTTCTCAACCATTGCCCAAGTCATGAGATATCACTCGGTAAATAGATCGAGAGGTAGGTCACGTAGGGGGTTGTGGGTGGGTCGGGTACGATGGATAATTAGTCCGAAGTTAGATTGTGACTACGGGTCACATCCCAGGGTTGGTACCTTGGGAGCTTGGTAGCAGTGAAGGGTGGTTGTTATAGTAACTACCAACGGCCTTTAGTGTCTTGGGCTCAGGGTTGGAAATTTCTTCCAGAGAGTGCAGTAGGAATACTAAGGATATAAAAGTATGTGAACTAATATAACCCCCTGCAGTATCTCCCTCTGCTCGATGCACTTCAGAGGATAAACTCTCGCATCCACTGAGATATGGATATTCTGTTAGGGGGGGGGGGGTGACGCGAGATAAGCAAAAGAGGGAAAAAAGAACCCTAACTATTAAAAAGAAGATACCTGTTATTTAAAAAGTGCCACCATATCATACATCAGCAACAGTGTTTAGGTGTGTGGGTCATGTGATTTAGACTTAGAATTAGGGTTTTGACTCACTTTACACTAAGTGAGATGTAAAGCCTAAAACATATAAGTTTAGATCCTACAGGAAACCCTAATGTATATTAATAATATCAATTAAAATTAATTGATACAATATAACTTCTTTTTGAGACTGGTTTATCAATGGTGCCGCAGATTAAAATTCTTTACATCAAACCCTTTATCTGAAAAATCTAATGCTCAACACGGGGTCTTGGTATTTCTGGTGGAACAGCTACGTCACACTTTTTTTCAGCCATGTGCACGTTTTGGTCCACTTGAACTAGATGATATAATTATCATACGCAATCCTGTATTAGGGATATCCCAAGGTATCCTGCTCAAGAGCTAAAGAAAAAATATTGAGCTTAGGGTAATGGTAGTAATGGTCCCCCAATATTCCTCCGTCACCGTGACTATTCCTAGTGAGATCTCGTAAACATATCATGTCATACCAAACGCAGACTACCAAGCCGCCCCCGACCACGCACCTCAAATCGCTCGACCCCTGGAGATGGGCTGTTCGCTATGTATGATATGTGATAAGCTCATGCTACCTTTGCCCTGCTAAACATCACAGTCTACCACCCCTAACCTCCCGACACTTTGAGAAACTATATCTGGCACTCCCCCCCGGGAATCATCCTGCAGGTCTGGAGTTCGTTCCCCGAACCTATTTTATATATATATGGGTTAGGCAGCAATAGGGTACTGTGGGCCCTCGGGGGGAGGTCCTCTGGGCTGCTGATATTACCACTAGAAACCAGACAGAATATGCATTAAATCCTATCCAAATCTGCAAAGGAAATCTCGGATATATAAGAAAGGCATCGGCTAATCGGTGGAAAGGCTAATAAGAGCAAGCTACAGAATTACCACCTCCGGGTAATCCTAAGCATTTCCGTACCATCCCTTTTGTGGGGTCCAGTTTCCCGATCCTGGCGCAATAATTTTATGAAAATTAATGCCAAGTGACGAAATGGTATTATTCAAGCTAGGAAGATTTATTAGGTCTCTCTCGATGCCCCAAAGCCATGTTTTATATAGTACTATTCCTTCTATACATCTCCCCAATGTTTCCCGATAACTCCTCCCCAGTCAGAGCCCAGGGCATTATTGGTTTACCTGCTAACCTAAGTTAGGTCTGACTCCGTAATATACCTTTTGACGATTGACAATGTCCGCCGAGTGGCATGGCGGCGAGTTTCCATGCCCGTGGAGTGACTACATGATACCGGTATTGGCCCATCACACTTTAGTAGCGTTGAAGCGTCATAAGGAGGCCTAGGGTAACGATGATAGCAAAAAATTTCAAGTTTTCTATATACGCAAGGTATTCCGAAGAATCCCTTCGTATTGTATAGGTTGGATACTAACAGGCCCCCGGGACAGCAGGAGCAGAACTGAAGTCCCTCTTTCACCCGGACGTCCCAATGCAATCTAAGATGGTCTGCTAGCCCTTGCTCTTACGCAATATAGGGAGTTCTCCTAATGCCGTCTGCTTACTAACGTTTTCCTAGATAACAGAACCTCCCCCCCAGGAAAAAAAACAGGCCTGTATTCTTTCACATTGTATGGCTTGTCCGAAAGCCGTGTTAGACGGGAGATTTGCCTACTATTGATTTCTCTCGGCGGGGTTTGATATGCCGGCCCGGGAACATCCCTGATACCGCGAATCCCAAGAGTTTCACAGCTGGACCCATGTCTGCATGGCTCACCAAACTGCGCGGCTATGAGGAGGTGGACTGACGTGCTGAAAAACGAACGGTGATTGAACCGCGGGGTACAGGGACACTTGCACTGTAGTGCTGCTCTGGGAATCTCTGGCGTACCCTATGTCGAACAGGGGGATGATTCCTACTATCCTAAGCGAAGTTTGAGACGAGAAAGCTTGAATACCACTCTTCTCATTGTTAGAGTTTCGGTTGTGCTTTTGTTCGAAAAATTAACTTCAAGACTTCGCAGCTGGGTTTTAGCCCCCGAGATAGTGTTCAATGATAGCCACCCGGAACCGCCCCTCGCTGGCAAGGCAAACCCTAATCTAGCCAAACTACGGCAACGGATTCCCGAAAATTGAGGCCTCTATCGACCCCCACATTGTCGCAGAATCGCACTTACACTGGCTTGAGCGCCGGATGAATCATAGACCGCCAAGTCACCTTACTCTCCTCTGGGACCTTCGCGGGTGCCGGGCAAACATAAAGCCGTCAGGGCATTCGACCCATCAGTTAGATACTCGACCCCTGAAGCAGCCTGCCCCAAGGGGCCCCGGGGTAGGGGTAGGGGTGTATCCGGGGAGGATCGCCTACCAAACCGTCTACTTCGAGTCTCAGGTGTCTATATGCAGCACAAGGCAGTGCCCCGCTGTCCCGGATGAACAAATCCCCGGGGGCAACCTCCCGGGGCAACGAAACATCCGGGGGAGTGGAATAGTGGCAAAAATCTTCTTTGAAAGAATTGAAGATCGAGTGATAATTCTAGCTGCTATTCAATTGTTGACTGCGTAAATGAGGGGCAGAGTGGCAAATAAAAGGCACCGTGAATGAGCTAAAATAGGCAGCCTGATAGCACCCTACTTAATATACGATTACCCTTTCCTATTTCTAAGTCCTCCTCACAGTGCCACTTCAAAGCCCGGCTGGGCGCAGGAGGTTCAACCAGAATACATACCGTAACCATTACTTGAGTATACGTCGGAGACTCCTTTAGCAGTGGTGGGGGTGACCGGGGGAGCACAAAGAAGGGTAGGGACTTTCGACCCGTGCCCTACAAGCACCAGTTCGGCTACCCTTGTTACCAACTACGCCTCAGAATACCCGTGGGGCTACATTTCAAGGCAGAACAAGGCAAACCCCCAGCCCACAATATATTCTCCAAGTGAGCAAAAATCAGAGGCCCCTAAATACCCATCCCGTCCGGAAACACCCAAACCCGGGGCAACCGGGTGCGACACCACCAGCGATCCCAGCGAAGCTCCTCAGTGTGAAATCGAGCAGATATCAGAGTCACGCCAGCGCTATCTCCACAGTCGCGATCTGTTTTATCGAACCTATCGGGCATGTTACTCCCGTAAAGGTCGGAAAATTATCTGTTTCTGCCCATCCCGTATCCGCAAGGCTCTAAAGCATGGAGACAGGGGTTGAGCTCGCAGTCTCTATGGACACACCGCAGCACAGCACTAGTACTGTACAGTAGCTATGATAGGCCAACGGATACAGTTTCTAACCCAATTCCTGGTGGTACCTTCCTTCTTTTGCTAGCGGGCCGTAGCGCTCGAAGCCCCAACCTTAGATTTCTTCCCGCCATGTACTTGTATTACAAGCTAGCCCCATCTCCAGATCCCATCAGGCCTACCCGTCCCGAATTGATTGACTAGTCTGAGGAGCCCCCAGCGGCGCTCGGCCGGCGGACTTCTCGGTCGTCAAGGCTTATTTCGCCCAACATCCCAGCGCCCCGACTCAATCACAGCAGATGGCAATTGGTTAAGGTTTCAACCATCTAGAGTGCCATGATACCCCCTCCACGATTGACGGCTCATACACCCGGTCGATATCCCACACCCCTTAATATGTGTCGGGAGGGAATAACCCTGAAAGTTCCATATATATGGGGATCACATTACTCGTAATTGAACGACGTTGATGAAAACGGGGGGCTATTGCATATCCCCAAAATTCGGTTTTCTATTTTTTCCTCCTTTTTTTTTGCTTAACTTAGATCTTAGTGTCGTGTAATGGACACACACACACACACACACGCGCAAAAAGTGGTTCGATTCCAAGTATACAAAGTTCACCTGATGCTGATATCAGGCTAATTAACATCCGCCGATTGTCAACCATGAAGGGGTTTGAAAATCGGGGCACAACTACCGGTATTCGGTATAGCGCGCTTGACTATCGCTCTGTTAATCACATGGGGCCCATTGCAGGAGTTTGGACGAAATGCTGAACCTAGTATTACTTGTACAAGCTATGGTAACGGTATTATTGATACGATGCTCCGGACACACCATCACGGATACACGAGTCTGAAAAAGAATGAATAAATGAAAAGGTACAGCATATGCAGTTAATAGTATTAGGGCTTTTGTAACGCCATCAATAATAAAAAATCACCCCATACGCGCCGGAAGAACGGGGAAAAGAAAGGACACGATGATAAAAATACATACAAAGCACACAAACAAACGCCTGGCACGCCGCGCCGCCCGCTCATTATAACAAGTAATGATAAGGATAAGGATAAGGGGGGGGAGACATGAATTTGTTTCCGCCGCAAAACACTTTCAAAACTTCTGCCCTGATGGTGGTGGGGACTCGAGGTTCTGCTGATCCCATTCTGGTCCCTGGTACAATACCCCATTCTGAGTCACAAGAATGACGTGTTTCTGTAAAGACTTGTTTCGCGGCATAGGGTGCTTGAAAATCTCGTTTATCTCTTCGAGGGTTCTTGAACGAGTCTCGACGAAGCTATGCACGACATCAGTTGGTCAGCGGGCTATCGGGAAAGAGGGAAGAAAGGAAGTGGAAAGGAAGAAGGGAACATACTAAAGATAGATAATAATCAACTCAAAAATGTCCCAAGCAATATAAAGAAAGCAAAAGCCCCAATTAATCCTCTCAATGATGACCGAAATCCCATAAGAATTGAATAGCGTGGCGATATTGGTGAAAAAAGCGAACACCCCCATCCCCTTAGCTCTTGTCTCGTACTTCAGACACTCGACTGGATACAGTGCTTGCAGAGGCGTATATGAGACCGAGTAGGTGATTCCAAAGAGGTATATAAAAGCGATAGTAGCCGTGCTTCCGGCAGTATTGGTGTTGGATTCCTTCCCGTAGTAGGACGCTAAGATCGTGATTATGGTCCACCAGACGACGAAAAGGCCTGTGCCTATCATTAGGACTACCCGACGGCCCACACGGTCTACAAGGAGGCATCCGACGATTGCTGCGCCAAAGGAGATGGCGGTCAAGATTGCGTTGTGCAAGAGCTGGGTTGCCTCTGCTCTTATACCGACGTTGTCGAGGAGGACTGGGAGGAAGTGGGTTACTGCGCCATTTCCGGACCACTATAGTCCCGTTAGGTTTTTTGATACCATGTTGTTGGGAGGAAATGAGGGAAATAGGTAAACATACTTGACCGAAGAACGCCATTCCTGCAACGCACACCATACGCCATCTTGCGCTTGTGGAATTGAAGAGTTCGGAGTAGTCCCACCAACGCTTGTCGGAGCCAGAGAGAACTATCTCTTCCAACATTTCTTTGTACGAGAGAAGGACGAAGGGAGACTTGCGGTTTCCATCGCCATGGTAGGTTGTTAGGACCCGAATTGCTTCCTCATTGCGGTCATTTGATATCAGCTGTGACGGCTAGTTAGTCTACGTAGAGAGGACACCATGTGGCAGTCAAGGCTTACCCAACGGGGGGTTTCAGGACACCAAAGGCACAGCAGCAACACCGTGCCCGACGCCACAGCTTGTAGCCAGATAGGGAGCCTCCAGGAGAGATCGGAGGTCCAGTTCTGGGTTCGGTACATCGTCCATGTTGCTGCAATCTAATTACCCAACGTCAGAATTGTGAAAGCCAGAAGACACAGCTGACAGGCATAGCTTACCCCACCAACACAATAGAAGGAGTTATATAACCCAGTGAGCGTTCCTCTCCAAGCGGGATGTGCCATTTCAGCAACATATACCGGCCCCGCAGTGGTCAGGATGGCGGCACCAAGCCCCAGGATAAACCTTCCACCCATAAACCAGGCGTGTGTCGTTGAGAGTGCCTGCACGCAAGTTCCAATGATCACCGTGAGCGCCCCACTAAACATTCCCCAACGCCTGCCCCAGCTATCCGTCAACGGTCCGCAAATGAAGCACCCCGAAAAATGCCCGATGGAGTACATCGCGAAGACAATGCCGGTTGATGATCCAGTCGTTTTCATGTTAAAATATCTAGAAATAATTAGTAATCCTAATAGGGCATACTAGCAATATAATAGCAAAGGAAGACAAACCTTTGATATGTCGACATAGCATTGATTCCCCCCATGATCGATCCATCATACCCATTAATACAAGAATTCAAGAATGCTACAAACAGATAGCAATACAGCCTGAGCATGGGCTTTGTCCAAGGACTCGGCTTCTGTGCTAGCAATGCCCTGGTAAAGTCTACATGAGCAACGGTCCGGATGTACCGTTGGTCTTTCGACAACGGAGTGCATGACGATAGCGAGCCTGTCTGGGAGTACTGTGACATTTCAAACGTGTTCTCAAGTGTGATGTCGTCTCCGCTCGCCCCCGAGACCCTCTGTCCTCTGTAGCAATCTTCAACATCATCACACGATGCCGTTGCTTCCCCAACCGATGACTTTTCCGCCATATTCGTTCGTTCCTACCGGCCGGAACAGTCCGGAATAAAAAATTTCGTCGGTATTTCGAGGAGTCCCTTCTTTCCTTTCTTTCCTCCACTGCTATCCCAAGTTGCGAAGCAAACAAAAAAAAATGAAAGAAAATTAGACGTTCAGAATAAAAATAGAGAAATAAGGAGGATTGTAAAGTCGAAACGGGCTATACGGAGGGGGGCTATAGTTTAGGGGGTGCTGCTGTTATTGAGGTGCCGGAGTTAACTACTGTAGTAGCAGTAATAATTGCAGTCGTTGGTGTTGGTAAAAGATTGTCCTTCCTTCTTCCTCTCTCCTTTAGCCAACCTAGATGGCATATGAAGAGTGCACTGGTAACCCTATAAATTTCTTGAATGGCGATCACCGGGGGGGTTGATGGCTTTTGTAGACTCCCGAGCAGGGGCGTGAGTTGTCCCCGTAATTCTCGCTTCCGCTGCTCGCCTGCCGGGCTTGCCTACTTTGGTCGGGTCTATTGCACCACAAAGCACCCATGTCTGCAACTAGGATGTTTATTTATTTCGATCTCTCCACAAGCGCGGGGTGAGGGTAGTTTGGAGGCTCACTGGGCTGACGAACGGACCTACAATAGGGAGGCACTGGTATGGTACCGGTACTCGAGTATAGACTCGTACAGAACAGTTCGACTACGGAAGCCGACTGTACCGTAGTGAGGAGGAGAGACAAAAGGCATCTGTGCGGAGAAACATTGGAATATTTTTTTCTGCGTGTGATACGCGTACCGGTATAGTAACTTGAAGAGATAATACCGGTAGTTTGATCCCGGACAGTGTTACCTTTGGGTGCAGATTTTCCTTTTCCCCCCTCTCTTTTTTCTCTTTCAGTTTTTTACTTTTTCCCTTCCCCCCCCCCCCATTTTTGCTTTTCTCCAATACCAGAAGACTAGATATGGTAGCACCACCGACCTCTCCGCCACGCTGACAGCAATGTTGACCAACCGAACTTGAATTCGTAAGTGATGATGAGGAAAGGGGTATCGCCGCGGACCGTCAGTAACTTGGGGCACAAGACAGCAGTAAAAACTCCAAGTACCGTGTCCGAGTACTGTGCAGTATGCTGCAATCCCTGTGTATTGTACAGCACTCGAGCGCATTAAAATCCAAATGTCGATGGATTTCAGGATAATGTCCATGAATCCATTATCGTGCCGAGGATTGATAGCTAATATTAACACTCTCCCGAGATGCAGCGTATTTTAATGGAACAGTACCTGCGCTGTGATACCATGGACTCCATTACCCAGTCCCAAAGCACATTCGCCTAGAGTTGAATAGCCTTACTACTATCCGCAGAGGTACGCCCGGACATGGCCTATATTGCCAGATGCTACTGTACATCCCTGTTTTATATTGTGTTTTGGAGATAGCCCATGGGAAAGTGTGATACAGTAGCCACCTTCCCCCGCCTTTCGACTCTCGGTATAACCTTTCCTTTCCAGAATGGCCAGCCATCATGATACGGTTGTTAAACTTTAACATGAACAACCACTACATTATCGCATGATCGCAGTCTCCCATCTTACGAAATCCAGATGGTCTAGAGGGTAGGGATTAACGGAAGTCCGAAGGAAGATTCACAAAATTTGGTATGGTATATTATTATATGGATCAATGGCAGGCTATACCACCAGTTGAAGGGGTAGAAGGAGAGAGGGATTCCGAGGAACAATCCCACCCCCACTACCAACCATCTTATATTGCCTTATTCGTTCCATACAGTGCCGGTATAGCCCCCTCTGCTGATCCGACAGGAGGGGTATGTTCTCAAATTTCCTTTCTTGTTAGCCGCTAGTTTGCAAAAAGAGCATGATTCCCCAATACCTTACTTTTCCCGGTCAAGAAGCACTAGAAAACAGGGGGCGTATTCCGCATTGGTGCTCAGATATGCCCATATTTTTCACCATATATCCCCTCAATCCCCCTTACGGATACTTGTACCCGCCCAAAGCCCTCCCCAGGCCCACACTGATGCGTGTGTACTCGAGTACTCGATTACCCGAACACAAAAGTCAGAAAAAACATACCGGTGCCCGAGTATGATCAATCACCCGTGTGTATCTGTGCGCACAAACAAAATTAGCCCTAATTCCCGCGTACTGCTTGCCTGGGCCAAGTGGAAATCTACCGTATGATACCTACCTTGTGATAATGCCCAGATGTGAACTTTAATCACTATAAGCTAGAAAGGACTTTCTCGCCTGTAGTCAAGCCATGCTCACACACTCCCGTGGTGTCATTCATCCGATACCAAGACCCACCAACAAACCGCTCGAACAATAGATATCCTGAAACCCCCGCACCAAAGAGATGGAGAGAAGGGGGAAGGAATGATCTGATTTTGGTCTCATTGGTAACTCCCACTGGGCTTTCCCGAAACTCATATTCCCCCAGAGAGTTGTACAGCGCCATACAAGAGAGCCCACGGTGAGCAGCTCACCTCTCCGCTAGCAGGAACCCCAGCAGCAGTAACTTGCTCTTGATTAGACAAGAGAGTTTAATCGAGAATTGGTATGATAGCTCCAGGCCACTCTCATCGGCTCAGGATCGGGGTCGAAACACGTTACTCGAAGACACTGAGTCGGGATGTTCCAGAGGCGTTTCTCGATACTTACAGTATCAGTATTCCTCGGTTTGCCTTTTGTTGCCGTTGGGTTGGCCACCGTCACCGGTAAGATGACCGTACCTTGTGCCTCTCGCCAGTTACCTCTAATGGATAGCACACGCGCATTTCGCTTGTGGACTTGAAACCTGGATATCCTCGAGCATGATGCCGAGGCCACAAGGGAGGAGCCTATCAACCGGAGCAAAAGTATATTTAGCTTGTTGGCCTCGAATGACCGCTCCATAATTTCCTGCAGGACCGTGTATACCGGTATGTGGTCTGATGCACTTATAGTAATTTGTATTACTATAATAATATATCAGAGGTAGTGTAGGCTATTGCTCTACAGTATTAGTGCCGGTAACAGTAGTTTTTGATTCCTGTGTCTTGGATATTCGAGGAAATACTTGTCACGATGGCGCAACGCCGGGTGTCGATAGATAAACAGACTGCAGTATCTCGTGCTTGATTTTGGCATGATACCGACAGGATCCTCAATGCCACGCCCACACTCCCACACGTGAGATCCTCTGTCGAAAAACGCACTAGATGCGGGGGGCGCCAGGTTAGGCCGGGAGGAGATTAGGGGGCATGTTGAGACGGTCATAACTTGACCAATCCTGATGGCCAGAAGGCTGATACTAGCGTTTCCGGGTTTGCGCAAGTGCATTGTGGCCCGGCTTCGCACAGTCCTAAGAGCAGTCCCCAAACAGGGTAGCCGTAACATGCCACTGTTTACGCTTACGGTATATTTACCGAATATGAGGGGACTTCGCGTAGGAATCTGGAAGTGTCCTTGGCATATTTTCAGGCTAAAAACTGGAGAACCAACTCCTAAATCTGAACAAGCCCCTCCCTCGCCCCCTCAGTTTGGATTTGAAAGGTTCAGGAATCTAGAAGCCTGTATAATTAGTTAGCCAAATCTAAGGCCACTTTAGGACCTATTTCTCAATACAGAGAGTGGAGGAACGGCAAGCTGCCAGTACTGCAGGATGTGATTGTATGAGAAATCGTTCTACTCGGATCGATAAGGCTAGAGGAGGTTAGTATTTGTGGTCTCATGTTACTATAGTGATCGCAATCTGGAAATTTGGGAAATAGCTTGTTCTACAGGAATAGTCCGTGATCCAGACTTTTGTTCCAAACTCCAGATTTTTTTCTAGGTTCCCACGGGAAGTCTTCCATCGTGTAGTTTGCACTGCAGCAACGTTAAGAGTAAATTTTGCAACCCACACAAGCTGTCACAAAGCAAGCACAGCTCGGAACTACTGCTGCCTTAACAAACTCTCCCTACCGGGGATTCTATGCCCTCACTAGCGGGATGCTGTGGTCTCTTGCTGATTGCTTATAAATAGGGCCTCGTGAGCTGGCGAGCTCGTAGCAAGGAAGGAGGCAGGGGAGGGTTAGAGAAATGGTACGGTAGTCGAACGGTTTGGGATCTGAAGGGGACTGGCGGACAGACGTTGCTGATACTGACAAAGCAGCGTAGTGGTGCTTCACCCGCTATGGGAATTTTAGGAGGGTAATGTTTGGCAGGATATGGTGGAGTTCTGATGTTTCCAGCGATAAATGTTGTTTGTTTGTTTGGGCTATCGGGTAATCTTTTTGTGATTACTCTATATTCCGATTTTTATACAGTAAGTGGGTGTGGGCGGGCCGCACGGTACCGGTACAGGTATAATACTTGTCCCAGGCAATAGGTACCGGCAAACAGGGCTGTGAATTTGTACTAGTACTTGTACTAGTACACGTGTATGGGCGCTCGGATACGCACGGATTTTTTGCCATATGCCTGATTATTTGCGAACCCCATGGACAGGTACCTGAGCTGTTTATCTTTTCACATTTGTGTCGGGTACCGGTAATTATTTGGCCCTAGCCCCGGATACGGGGAGCATACTGTACTGACTTACCCATAGTTTCTGGATATCGCACTTCCACCGGCGGCGAGGCTGAGTTGTGGGCGAAGAGGGCAATAACCTGTAGGGGTAACCAAAAAAAAAAAGTGTTGGTAAAAGTGAAATCCACAGCTGCGAAAACTCTAAGCCTAAGTAATAGGGTATAGGGTCAATCAGGCGCAGCGAGCTGAGCGATCAGCCCATAACTTGGATATCTTTCTTCGTCCCGTTGCTCTTTAGCATTTACCAGTACTTGTGCAGTATCCCACAACCCGATCTCACCGCGGGTACGTATAGCACCCGAACTCGAGTAAGTCTGACACCCCGCCAGCAACATTATGGAAAACGGTATCGCCGGAACTCACGGGACCGGACGGACTCCCTACTCTACCGGAGGAGTTCTGTGGAGGCTCGAGATTCCCATGTGACAGGACTTGCTGAGCCGGAAAACCCGGTGTTTG